TAATAATGGCAGGCAGAAAAAGCAAGTTGTGAAGAGTTTTGATTACTTGAGATCTGGCTGTAGCTGGGGCCGCCTTAGTATGAGCATCTAATAGCCTGGGTCCAGTTTGCCATCTACACGAATGTTGCCCTGGATTGCAGTTTGGGGTCCTCCTACGAAACCCCGCAGACTTCTCATCTGTGCCATGGGCTCACCATAGCATGCACTCATAGGTCTGTTGTAAGCACTATTTCTAAAATTTTCAACAGTGGTGGGGACAAGCAATTCCTCCCTGAATGTGTCCTGTCCCTGACACCCTGCCAGGGTCCTGCTGGGCATGTTGAGGTCCTTCTGTGAGCCAACAGACTTGAGCAGATGCATATGTCTTACCTTCAGTAACTAGTTCAATCAATGTCTAGCTGAGTGCGATAGTGCACGCCTGCAGTCCCAGGTGCTCAGGAGACTGAGGCAGGAGGATTGCAAGTTCAAGGCCAGTCTCGGAAACTTAGCAAGACTCTACCTCAAAATACAAAAAGTGTTGGGGAAGTGTTCATTGGTGGAACATCCATGGCTCAGTCCCTAGTACTGTAAAAACTACAACATTCAATGGCAAATAGAATATATTAGGAGAGATTTTAATCTGATACGATATTTCGGAAAAATATGGCAATAAATAGTCAATGCTTTAAAGTTCTTGATGCGTTAAATTTCATTTACCAAACTTTAACAAAGTAATCAAATGCTCAAATAAAGATTCATCTTGTCACACTGATTAAAGAAAAATACTTCAAAATGTGTACTGTTTCTAATGTCATATCATTGTTACTATACTGTCTTTAAAACATATTTTTTTAAAGAAAAGGTAAAAAAAGAAAAATAGAGGGGCCAGGGAGATGGCTTAGTGGAATAAGCGCTTCCCTGGCAAGTGCAAGGGCCTGAGTTCAATCCCCGGTTCCACAAAAAAAAAAAAGAAAAGAAAAGAAAAATAGAGACAACGAAAATTTAAGGTTTCTTGAAAGCAAGTGGGAATATGCAATCATATGTCCAATTTACGTAACTATATCTGTTAATTTGAGCAAAAGATTTGATGATAAAATGGATAATATATCAACTATTATTAATCAGTGATTCTTGTTTTGAAAATCTATAATGCATTGTTGTATGTTCCCCTGTTTCTGTCTTTGTTTCTGATTTTTGTTCTTGCTTTTGTTTTTACTTTTCAAAATAAAAATTGAAGAAAAGAAAAGAAAAATATTAAAAAGAACCAAAGGGCCTGGCCAATGCATATATGGAATACTATACAGCTGTCATATTTGGTGGTTAAAGAACTTTTAGTATTATGGAAAATGCAAATATAATGTCACATTCAAAAGCAGATTATGAAATTTTTGACGATAGTGTTATCTCAACCATGTAATAAAGTTATGTAAAGAAAAGGGATTAAAGGATTGACTTGCCAGCCTGCTACTGCAGTTGCTTGGGGCAGTGGGATTAGAGCGGGTTTTACTTCGTGCGCATGTGACCTCTCACAGGGACGTGCTCTGGGCGCAGGCTGCAGCTCCAGTATTGCTGACATGGACTCCTTAATGGTTTTGAGCCGGGGAGATCTGTATGTTCATTTTCTAGAGGTGCCCACAAATTATACAACTGGGCTGAGACAGGAACTTATTTTATTCTTATTACTTTTTCTACTTATCCTTTTGATACAGTGGACATATATACTTCATAGAATCTGAAGGTTTTTTTTTTTATGTATTTGGTACAGGGTCTCACTACACAGCTTGAATTTACAGTGGTCCTCCTGTTCCAGCCTCCCCAGCACTGGGATTGCAGGCAGCTGCTGCACGCCCAGCCTCGGTGTCTGGCTTGGCATGTGGTGCCAAACCCCGGTTCCTGGGCGTGCCTAAGCAGGTGCTTAGGCTGCTGAGCTATCTTGCCAGCCCATTTGAAGTTATTTAAACAATAAGTCATTGATTAAAATTTTGTTGGCCACCTGTCTCTGTATTTAATTGTCCAATCGCTTTTCCTCACAGCACCAGGCCTGGATGCCTTCTGGGAAGGCTGGGGATAAAATCATATAATTTAAAAAGAGTAAGTGGCAATAGTTAAAAGAAAATGGAGACCAAAACGTCCCCATCTTTTTCTCCTATCCGTCATTTCACTTCAAGCTAGTCTTCAACAAACTGATACGGGAAACTTCTCAGTTCACCTCAAGCTGCTAGCCTTCATGGCCACTGCTGCCCGGCCGTGGGCTCTCCAGTGTCCTGAGAGTCCCTGCCCACCAGGGTGCTCTGCCCGTCTCTGCCGAGTACTGGCCTCCCCTCCTCCTCTCGCCAGCGGTGCTGGCTGCCCTCCCGTCTCTGGCTAAACCGGCCAGCTTTCCTACTGATGGGAAAACACCGCCTGGCACCCACAGCTTAACGGTGCGGGGGGCTACGTGGCTTCTGCGTTCAGTGGGTCGTGGGTGGCTTCAAGGTAGGATGTCACAGCGGAGGGCTCTGCGGAAAAGCTCTGCTTACATCAAGTGGCTGGAAAGAGCTCAGAAGGGCACCGGAGAGGAGGGGCCGGGGCCCAGATGCAGACCCCGAGGCCAGGCCCTGCGACCACCAGGACACCCAGGGCGCTTTCCTACTCCCCCGGGGGCGCCCACGCCGGCCACCTAGCCGTGAAGTGTGTGTGCCCCCAGCGGGTGGTGGCGGCCCTGTGGTGGCCGCCGGTACTCACGTTCCTTGGGCGTGGTGAAGCGGACCCACTCGGAAGCCCCGCTGCCGGCCTCGTTGCGCGCCACCACCCGCAGCTGGTAGGCCGTGTGAGGGCGGAGACCCGCGAGGCTGGCGCTGAGTCCCGGTCCCCTGTACTTGGTCTCCGCTTGGCCCGGGACGCAGGCCTGGGCTGTGTGTGGAGGACAAGCCGCGGAGAGCTGGAGCTCGAAGCTGGAACGAGAGGCGGGGACGGGGGGACAGCGATGGAGTCAGCGGAAGGCCCGCCCAAATCGCTTGGGCTCCATGGAACTGCAAAGTGGCAGATGTGCGCTCGGAGAAGCCCCAGGAAGAGCACGGGAACCAGAGAGACCTCAAAATGCCACCGCCCGCACACGCGTGGCCCTCGCGCTGCGGCTGGTCACTCTGCTTAGTCCAGACACCCGTTTCTTTCCAAAGGAAGGTGGTCAAATATTCTCTGTTTAGAATAAGGAAACACATTTTCCTCCAGATTCTTTTCAGGAAAGCGACTAACTTCTTTGCTCCTTCAAACAGTAATTCACTGGGGCATCTTAAAATGTGTGGAGCAATTCTGACTGAACCACAAGCATACCTTATGCTCCATAGAAGGCCTGCGGCTGGGCCACTTCAGAGCCCCACGCGGAGAAGCAGGGTCCCTTATCCATTCATTTACTTGTGCTGAGGTTGGAAGCCCCAACCCCACAGGAGCACACTGTCACAGTGAACACAGGTACTTCGCGTTCTCATCATTTTAAGATGACTTTGTGCGCTTTTTTATCATTCATGGATTTTAGGGTGTGAGCTGCACACTAAGCTCAGTACTCGGATTAAGGCTCTATGCTTGTGTCTCCGAGGAGCTGGCCCTCCCATAGTGGCTGTGGTTCAGGCTCTGTGTGCAGGCTGCCCTTGGGCTCTTCCCCTTCCTGCTGAGTCACTACCTTTGCAGGACACCATTGGGAAACAGCGGGGGCTCCCACTGGAAGGAGGCTGTCCTGGAGCCCAGCTCCTGGACCCGGGGGGCGGCCAGGCTGGAGGGTGGAGCAGGTCGTGTCCTCAGCTCGGCCACAGGCCCGCGGCTGCAGCAGCTGAAGCAGGTGCAGGCCTCCACGCCGACGGAGTAGGCGGTGAAGGGGCGCAGGTCGTGGAGAGTCTGCTGCGTGGCTGTGCCTTCTGACAGCTGGGGACCAAGAAGGAGAGGAGTGAGGGCCGTTGGCAGGCGCGTAGGGCCCTGCTTCCCACTCCACAGATGGTACCCTTGCAGCCCACGCGGCCTGGCGTCCACCGCAAGGCGTCACGGGCGCTCTTATGCACCAGAAGTGCTTAATGATGTCACACGCTTTACGAGCCACAGAATGACCCGGCTTCTGAAAACATGGTCTTTGCTGTATATTTCTAGCCACTGACCTGCATGCGGTGCCGTGGTAACAGGCACGCAATTCCCAGGTGAGCTTTCCTTTCGCGTCTGTGTCAGGGTCAGGGAGAGATGGCAGAGATCCTGAATGCCCATCTCTTCTCCTGAGGGCGGTGGTTCTTACAAAATATCACAGTATTCTCCTCGATCACTTTTTGCTTTTGCTTTGGTTTTTTGAGATAAGATCTTAACTGTGGAGCTCAGGCTGGCCTCAAACTCACAGTAACCCTCCTGCCTCAGCCTCCCAAGTGCTGGGATTACAGCCATGTGTCACTACATCTGGCTTTTAGTTATTTTTGTAGGATGACAGACTTTTCAGTTTATGTGCAGCAAAAATAGTTTTTGCACCTCACTGTGGTTTAATTCAGTATTCTTTGGAAAGGAAGAGTTTAGAAATTGCAAATTAATTCTCACGTTGACATAATATATGATTAGGAAAAGTTTTTGAAAATGCATACAGTGCACTCCAAATATAAATTATTTTAGTTTATTAGTATTGCCATCTCACGAGCAATGGATAATCAGCGGTTGATTGTATTTACATCATCTATATTTATTGAATACGAGCCTTGTGGAAAATATGCTAATGTCCCCTTAGCAGCACTGGGAGCCTTTATCGCGTGTGAGTTAGCTTTTGAAATTGTTTCAGTAGCTGTCACCGCGGCCTCAGAGGCTTTCTCCACTTTGCCCCAGCTGTTCCCCCAATCGGTCTAAATCACTTATGCTATAACAGCAGGGTCTGCAAGTCTGTCCGTGAGGTTTGCAGGAGCAAAGCCTTCTGTGCATTAATTCAGGAGCCCGGAAGAGCAGCCCAGGTGCAGGTGGGTGGGAGCGAGCCCCCTCCCATGCCCAAGCCCCCACTCCTAGTCACAGAAATGGCCCATCCTTCAAGTCCCAGTAAGTGGCCTGGCTTTATCTCCCAGCAGGAGATGACGGCTCTGGGCTTCTGCCCCTGTTTCCCAGTGTGCCCAGAATGTGCTAATAAATAGTGGAGCCAGAGAGCCGCAGTTCTGCTGCCTCGTACACGAGGCCAGGCCTTTCTGGAATTCACCGACTCAGTTCCCCTTATGTTCTTAGAGCTTTAGGTCAAAAAGGGAACCTCAGGGGGCTGGTGGTGCAGCTCAATGGTAGAGCTCTTGCCCAGCATGTGTGAGGCACTGAGTTTGGTCCCCAATAACATGAAAGAAAGGGGGAGGTGTACCCCTCCGAGCTACACAGGAGGCTGAGGCAGGAGGATCTCCAAGCGGAAGCCAGCTGGAACAATTTGGTGAGGCTGTCTCAACTTAAAAATAAACAAAGGCTAAGGTGTATTTCAGCTCTAGAGGGCTTGCCTAGGATGTGTGGGGCCCTGAGTTCCATCTTGACCACTATGAAGACAAAAAGGTGTCCTTAGTTTGTGTCTGTTTCCTCAAGGTTCTCCTCTGAGAAGGACTCTGGTGCTGGTTGTTCACTAGAGGGGATGGGGAGGAGAGAGGACGATGCTCCATCCCAGCCCTGAGCACCCGGACCCATGCTCACCACAGCCAGCGTGCCGCTGCTATTGGAGAACAGCCGGTACAGACTGATGTTCCCGTTGGGCTTCGCCGGGACGCTGATGTTGAGCACCGCTTGGGTGGAGGACACGGTGTGGACGGTGGGGGCGCTGAGGCCTTCTGGGGGTGCAGGCCAGGTTCTACACTGCACCCAGCTGCTGGGGGCTCTTCCTGCTGAGTTCACCGCCCAGACCTGGGGAGAGAGACCCATAAGAACAGGCAAGAAGAAGACACTCTCAGCGGGACGAACAGACCCGCACCCCGAAGCCACTGAAGCCAACGGTGAGATGATTCTGGCCATTTGCAAAGGACGCAGAGAACATGGGGTGTAGGGAAGCCGGGGGAGAGGTGAGGAGCGTTACGGCTCTGGGACTTGCAGAAGGTGGATATGAGCCTAGTGAAACCCCTGTTTGCTGGGCTGGGTGAAATGCACTGGTTTTTCTCAGCTCCCACCAACTGGATGGGGCTGCCGTCTCTAAGAACCTCAGCGATTCCCCTGCTCTGTCCCCACCAAATCTGCATGGAAATTAAATTTTCTTTCATCAAGGAGGGAATACACATATGGAAAGGTGTATAATCTTATTTATCAAGAACCATTTGTATAATTAAACACGAATAGCCTAAAAGGTTGCCTGGGGTCATCATTTGCGTGGGTAAGTAATTTGTAGACTGTCAGGTACAATAGACAGAGTAGATGGATGCGTGAGTGGATAGGGTTAAATTAGGCCCAATAATAGCCAACTACACAGTGATCAATCAGAATGATAGATCTAAGAGGCAATGTGAGAAGACTGCGTGTTGAGGAGCGGGGGCATCCCTGAGTAAGCTTTCAGGGAGTCTAACTGGAGACAGATTTTCCTCATTGGGTGTCTTCTTCTCTAGGTACTTATTTTTTTTTTTTTACTTTAAATTCTAAAAGATGACTCTGGAAAACTTGTTTGATTACACAGGACATGCACTGTGGCTGTGCAGTACTTAAGGGACATGCAAAGTGGTTAAAGTGTAATATGTAGGAAAAGCTGGCTGAGGCTGCTTTGAGAAGTAGACCTCAGTGGTGTGTTCTTGGTCTGCCTTTTTTTAAAAAAATTTTTGTACAAGGTCTACAGAAACTACAGGGTCTCACTACATAGATCGGACTCATAGTGATTCTCCTATTTTCAGCCTCCCCAGCGCTGGGATTACAGGCGCTCACCACCATGCCCAGTCTCACTTGCCATCTCAGTGCACCCCGGGGGCAGGGCCGGCACAGCACGCCGCGGATTGAACCCTGGCCACTGCGCTCTGCTTAGCAGGCACTTTAGTCCGCTGAGCTATCTTGGGCCAGCCCTTGTTGGTTTGCTTTTCAATCAGCAATATCTTCAAAAGAAAAAGACCATCAGACAGACATTTTAGTAGGTAGGCGAACTCCTACTAGTGTCACCAGATTCTGGAGAAGTCCCTTGTAAAAGCTGATCTCTGGGGTTGAATTGCAGTGAACACAAATGCACACCGCGTCGCAAGCCAGAGCAGCAAGGCGTTTTAGAGAAGGTGGTGCCCTCACATCGTCACAGCTGATCTTGTAATAGTTCAGACACCTCCCTCACTGGCCCCATCACCACAAGCGCCACACTTTATGAAGCACTTCACCACGTGCTACTTAGTCCTGCAGAGTGCCCTGTTAGCCTGGTTCTACAGGTGGGAAAATTGAGGCTCTGAAAATTTGACTTTCTTGCTCAGTGCCGCTGAAGTTGTCCAAGTAGACTTCCGCTCTCCAGGGCTCCCTAAAAGAACCGTATTTTGCCTCTGCACATCACCCCTCTGCACACACAGGACACTCAGGCTCACAGAAATGAAATGCCTGCCCACAGGCAAATACTTGCAATCCTGGACAGGCAAGATTTCTCAGACCCCAGGCTGGAGAGCTGTGATGAGCTATCTGGGGTACAGAGGGAAGTGAGGAGCAGGAAACTGGCTTCGCTGTGGAGAGCAGGGCTTCGGGATGTGGCGTCCAGGAGTGCAGAAGCACAGCTGAGCTGCTCCGGCCCTGTGCAATGGCCAGGGTCCACTGTACCTAGGGAGGGGATGTTGAGCAGGCTGCAGAAGAAATCCGAGGTCAGGACTGATGCAGGCAGATTCCCCAGGCTGCTCCAGAACAACCTCTTTGCCTACAAACATCATTCCAGCGGGTAGCATGTGGCGCTGTTCACTACAAAGAGTGACAGGGTTTGAAAGGACAATATTCTTGGAAAGGGAATTCATGATAAAATGCAAGCTTCACTATCAAATTCCTCACCAAGAGCAGAGCCTGGGTTGATGATTTAAGAGCACATAGAATTTTAACTGGGGTCACCTGGACAGTGAAGAAAATAAGGAGTTTAGCAAGGCGTAATTCTTTTTTCAAAAAAATCCTGCAAGTTTCCAGCTGGTTACTGCGCACCCGCAGGAGAGAACAGAGGTGCGGGCGTGGGGTGCACAAAGGAAAGGAAGGAAAATGAGCATAAGTCACGCACAGGCTCAGCACAGGACTGGCTGGCTCTGTGAGCTTTCACTTTTCCTTCATGATGTAGTTATGAAGAGCAGCAAGGCTTTTTAATGTGGGGGTTGGAGATGGTCTTAAACCTCATGCTTTTCTTTGTTGTATGGGCTTTTACAGGCAGAGTGCTACTTTCAAAATGTGACTTGATCCATTGTATTTTAAAACACTTAGGGCATGGTGTCACAGTATTTTGCTGTATTTCTTATATTCGCTTCTAAAAATGAGGCCATATAAAATTCATCACTGACGGGGAAGGCATGTAGGACCTGGCGTCTTTTGTCTTTGACAGGAGACCTTGATAACACATTGCTCTTTTCCTAGACTTTCTTTTTAGTGTTCAATCAATTTGAGATCAAAATAGCATTCATATAAATCAACCTGCTTATGCAAAGCAGGCTCAGCCTATTTACATGAGCTGCTGTGGAAATGAAAACAGTAATAAAGAGGAGAAAGCTGACTGAGACAATGAAGCCCCGTGGCTTGCACAAAGTGCGTACCCCAGCAGTGTCTCTGCTGTACCCGGACAGCAGAAGACAAGAAGAAAGAACGCTCTTAAAAGCAAAAAGTCTGTTGCTTAAAACTCACTGTGAATTCTTGTGTGGGCCCAGCTATGCAAGAGGTGGAGAAACTGAGCTATAGCTAAGGTTCAGAGTGAAAATACTTCTTACGTCTGTGATTTCTGCTAAGAAGCAATGCACTGAGATTTGGAGATGTCTTCATGGGGTGGAGAAAGAAGCAGCAACCACCTTGCCTGGGAAACTTCGAGCAATATGTCCTAGTTTATACACTGACTGATTGTGGTGCCAGGACTCAGATCTCTTGCATGCTAGGAAGCGCTCTCTATACCCAACCCCTGATCGCTTAAGGTTAATCAAGAAAACAACACTCAGGGAATGAAAGACCTCCTGGGCAGATGTGGAGCTGCCAACTTCATCTGTCTCTGTCTTGGTCCTCTGTCTCTTTCTTGGGACTAACAGGAGCATCCCCTAACTGAGGGGGCCCTGAAACCTGAGTCCTTGGGTCCAAGGGGCACCTGGAGCTCGCCTATTCCTCCCATTCTCCTGCCTGCTCCTCTCAGATTTCCTGAAATTTAGCCCTAAGCACCAGAATTCTGCTCTCCCTCCCTCCAAGAAGTCAGAAAACCTTAGAAAAGTCCCCATTTCCCTTTTCTCTCACTCCGGAGTCTCCTTCTCCATACCGGGAGCAGGATGGCTACACTGAGAGACTGCGGGGAGTCTGAACAGACACGCCTGGCTGGGTGCCCCCTCCAGCTGGCTGCATCAGCCACCTGATCACATCTCCATGCAGTGTCCACTCCTCACTGAGCCGAAGCATGAAACGAGGTTCCTTCATCTTTGAGTCTTTGTTTCTGAAGGCTCCCATGTCACATCAAACCTTGACTAAGGACATTTTTAATGGTTTTTCTCCTGTTAACCTTTTGTTACAGAAGTGTGGGCTGTGACCCTTGTGATAGGTGAGGAATGTTGTCACATCTTTTTATCCCTACATATCTATCCATCTGTCCATCTGTCCATGTGTCCACTCATCCACTCACCCATCTATCCATCCACTCACCCATCCATCCATCCATCCATCCATCCATCCATCCATCCATCCATCCAACCAACCTCTCTCTACCTAGCTACTTATCAAATCAATCCATCTGGTTCGTCTCCTGAAATTCTCTCCCACGATCACTGAGCCCCTAAATATAGACAACTGGCCACTTAGAGGGTCATTATTAGGAATGAAAAACAAATAGGTACATGCATTCACGGCCAAAAGGAAAAAAAAGGAAGTATACATTTCATCTTTAGTTGATTCAGAGTATCTTCCTACTTCACAGTATTTATACTGAAAATAAATACTTATTCTTGATAGTACATTAAAGATGGAGAAATTTTCCACTGCCTTATTTTTAGGGTTTGGTGAGCTCTTGACAGGGGTCCAGGCTACTGCACACACAAACATGAATATCAGTTAGATGTAGCGTCCCAGGAGTATCTTGCGAAAAAGAGGGCAAGCTTGGAAGAAGTTGGGCTGTTTTCTTCTGAAAGTTCTTTTGAGTAATCAAAAGAGTTACAATGGAAGACATACAAAAGCATATAGATCTTCTATTCTTAATAAATAAAACAAATTTCTTAAGCACAAGCTCTGTCCCTGGCCAGCAAGACAGAAATATATCCATTTACATTTCTGTTTTCAATGTAGTCTACATTTTAAAACTAACCGGTGATTGGTGCCACTTCTACGCCTCTTCCCCATTAAAAATGAAATTGTTCTTTTATTTGCTCATCTCCTTTTCCACCTGGATTAATTATTGTTTTCTCTTAAATAATTTTAATCACATCAAGTGCCAACACGTGCCACTAAGCTGTCATAATCAGATTGCTGTGAAAACATTAAGTTGACTCATTTGCCTTCCCTTGAATGTTGTCTCTTCGAAATCTGTGAGGAGTCCTTTTATCAAAATATGTTCTTGGGCCAGGATTATCAACATCCCCCAAGTGCCGGCATCAGGGGTCCTGTGAGTATCTTGGAACTTGGTCCCCCTAAACATTTCCAAGTGATTCTTGGGTCCAATACTGTAGGAGGAGCACACAGGTTATTCTTTGTCTGTAGAGCCAGCTGCAGAAATCTAGGTACTATCCACTCTATTCCTCCTCACGTTACCTCTA